ACATATATACATATATACATATTTCAACTACAAATTTCAACTCAATTAGGGATTTATTGATAAGCTAGGCTCCTTGATTTTTTAAGGGTGTGATCTGATTTTTAAGGGATTTATTGGAACTACAAAGTTCCAATCCATAGATTTTTATAAATATTGAGTATATTCTTGATAGCAGAACCTGTACCAGCTGTGACCCCTAACTATGACAGACTATTAAATACTTTAGATTTTGACTTCGGCTGGTCAGTCTACTGTTCCTCATGTATGTTAGGAACTTGGAGTGTTCTAAATGTTAGAAACAGGCCATATCTATAAATTAACAGAATCTACAAATCATCAGCAGCTAATATCATGATCCTCGCAAGCAGGTTGAGATCTGTATGCTACTCGCTCCTTTCTGCTGCTTAATCAGTCACTAAAGCTGGTGGTCTAGTTTTGTTTCTGAAGTTGGCCATCTGGTCTTATACAGATTTGGCCTTGGACTAGGCCATTGTTATGCTTATAAGTTTGTTGTTTCTATGCTTCATTGTGGCAAAATCTTTATGATTCCTTGTGATGCAATCTTATGAGAATTTTGTGGATAAGCAGAAGATGCACCTGTGTTTTTTTTTTTTTTTTTTTCTTCTTTTGCAGCATGTCCTGTGTGATTTAGTCATTTCGTGACATTTGGCATTCTTGATCTACATAAGCTTATATAATCTAAATTCATTGAAGGCGTCTTTCCACGTCTGTCTTCTTCTTTGATGATCGTGTTTAATCTGTAATTTATTAATCTCATTTTTCTGTACATCGTCTGCATGCGACAAATATTTCTGTGAATTGTATCTGACCTTAACTTCTGCTCTCCTTCAGATGCTTAAAAAATGCCGATCCCATTTCACCAAGGAATACTATCGAAGACTTACATTTAATTTGCTGCTTTTCTCCGCCACTATTCCTGTGGTCGGCCATGTTGTCAAGTTTGCTTTCCTCAGATATTGTGGTTACTTAATGGTTACATTCTCACTGTACTTGGAAATGCATACAAGATTATATGGGTCGGTGCAGTTGCAGCGTAACAGTCCTTCCTTTCAGATTGTGGAGATTGCATGGGAGATGATAGTCGGCAACAACCTTGTCTTGAACAGGCAAGTTCCCCAGGTCCTCCTTTCTTGTAATCAAAACGAACAGCAACACAGCTCTTAACTCTTCCCCAATTGAGTGCCGGGTTTGTCCTTAAAAATCTTCTTTTTGTAATCTCTTGCTACTTGCAGATGGACAATTGCAGTTGCTATATTGCAGTGTGTTCCGATCCTTGGCTGGTTATTCTACAAAAAGAACATAGATGGATGTCTGTTGCTGCCTTTCAAGGTGGTGCTTGGGTTGCTAAAGGCTGCTCTAGTAAAGAGCAGATTAAGCAATAATCCTAAGACCCAGTAGAATCAATGAGCAATGTGCAACTTCCCCTCCCTAGCTGGAGCAGGTTGCTTCAAATTTAGGTATGGTAGAGGTCCAATGAACTTGGATTCTAGTCCTCGACGCCCTAATGGGACAAACAATAGATCGAAATTATAACTTATATTTTTTTTATGATTTAATTTGGGTACGATTAACATGATACTTTATATCTTGTACATTCCCTTGAATTGTCAGATACATTCGTTTCTGATCCATAGAGAAAGCAGATGTTATTATTATAAAGCTAGTGATCCACTGCTGTTGGTTCAGTAACTGTTGATGCGTGCTGTGCATCTTACTGATGTAGTTCATTGTCAATGAATGCACCAATTTTTCTTGCGTAGATGATGAGATGTTCCTGTACTGGAACACATTCCATTTCTGTGCTTTAGTCTTTCAGATATATGTAATCACCTGTGCGGGATCAAACGAGAAGCAACGCGGACGCGTCCTCCTCGAAAAGAAAGAGATTTATCCAAATAGCATCGGTGTACCACCAACACTCGATTCATTAATATATTAGGTTTGTGGCACACGATGGATGATAGGGAGGTAGCTCTATGCAAATGGAGAAGATAGAGAGGTAGCTGCAATGGAGGGCCACGGTGACTCATGGTGCTCTATGAAGATGGAGAAGATAGAGAGGTAGCTGCAATGGAAAGCCACGGTGACACATGGTGCTCTATGCAGATGGAGAAGAGGGGACGTGAGTAGAACCTTAATTAGATATGTTTTTAAGTTTTTTTAATAGATTGGGAAGGACCATTCTATCATGGAGCGATATAGTAAACGTGTTAGACGTCTGTGCATGATTTTTTTATTTTTATTTAGTGTTTTCAAGTGTTTCTTTGTAAATAGGTTTTACGGGGCATTACGTACTATAGTTACCCTCATTTTGTTTTATTAGAAGTGTTTTTTATTTTATCTTTCTGTTTTATAAAACATAAAACTATTTTTAATTGTGCGGCATTACGTGAAAGGAAAATTAACCAAAATTATCCCATGATCATGTGTCATGGGTTCATTTTCAACTAACAATTTTGCGATGCAAAACATCAATTATCTCAGTATCCTAAAAATGCTTATATGGTATTGAGTAGGATAAGACATTAACTAAGTAAACATTAGGCCTGAACTTGCCTCCAAAATCTCCATGTGATTGTTTAACCCATTTGCGAGAACTTTTTTTGTCTAACAAAAGTTAGTTGCTTTATGGTATTTGTAATCCTGTTATCTTATTTTTGTACAATGGTAGTATATTACCTATATGTGTTTGTCTTTCTAACCTTTTCTTTTCTAGTGCAATTCTTTATGGGTTGCATGCGATTAAGTTTTAAGTTGATCCTTGTGACCAAAATCACTTGGATGTCATATGTTGTAGGCAATCTCAGCTTACGACATGACAAAATGGTATCAAAGCATATCAAGCAAGCATTCAAAAGTCACGGTGAGATAGCATAGCAAAACTAGTACCATTGATATTAGCATTGTGTGAACATTCCGAAAAATGGATGAGAAATCATATGGAAACTAGCAAAATCACTCAAAAGGAGCATAACAATTACAATGATGTTCCAGGAAGCAACAATTGTCTCGTACAAAAGAGACACAAGTAGAAGAGCAACTTGAACGGCACAAAAACACCAATAGAGGAGTGGTTGAGTTTGAGCTAAGAAAGACTCCGTATTGTCAACCAAAAGTTAATACAGCTTTATGGAAGTAAGGAGTACTTTAAAGTGATAGAGTTTAATCCTAACTAGATCAATTGGAGATCCAAGTTAAAAGGTTGATGGATAACACGAAAGAGTCCATACAATACAATACCTACGAGTAGAAAAATTGATGACTCATGTGTCGATACTCAAGCAAGAAATGCATACGAGTAGAAGAACATCTTACGGTTCTCTCTCGCTAAGAGTAAAAGCTTCCAAATCGTAGAACTACGAGGTGCTCAGAGTAACAAGGAGTTAGAATACTTTTGTTAGCATAAAATCTATAATCATGTTGTCTGTAATGCGAAAAAACTTTTATGCCAAGATTGAAATCAAATAAATTAGATCTGACAATATACGATCCTTCTCCTCTCTTCCTATCTTTCTACTCAGAGATACACTCTTAACCCCGAGAGATCTTCTATCAGGTCCTGTCTATTTATAGGCGAGAGCAGAGGGTCTAGGATAAGTTATTAGGAGAGTTCCTCCCAGGTTATCTCCTAAGGAATCCTACTTGAACATGGACTTCTTTTCTATTGGCCAATAATCATAATCAGAATCCAATCATATCTATAATATATCTTACTTAATTAAATAGGACCACATAATCTTACAACTTTCTCATCAATTAGATTAATACTTTAGAGCGAACAAACCCAAATTGAAAAAAAAAATCAAGGTGTCGTCAGCAATTATATATCTCATCGATGATGCAAAACTATGATGAACAATACACCTATATGGCAACCCTTAAGGCACCCCTTTAGTGTGTCCAATTTCAATTATATGTATCTTTTGCGCCTCACAAAAGTTAATTGCTTTATATTGGTTTGTCCGTCGTGCACAACGATGATATATTACCAACGCCTTCCATCTCTACACAAAGTTAAGGCCGAGACTAAACTTTGCCCACATACATAGTTTGAGCATTGCGGACAAATATAGTTTGGGCATTATCCGGGCTCTCTATTCGGGCTCGCTCGGACTGGTATTTGGACCGATAAATGAGCTGAATTGGGAGCCACCTCCGTCGACAGCATCCAATAAAACAAAACTTATTTACAAGGCAAAGAGATCAACAGTAATTATAGGTGTCAATTTTGTTTCAATTCATCAAGATAATTCACTTGAGAAAACAACTGCAGCCGAAAACACAAGAGAAACATAAAAATGTAAGAAGCGAAACAAGAAATATCACACTACACTTTGAGCCGGTATCCACGACAACGACGCGCTCGTGGAGCCTCAGATGTCAAGGCCAAGTAGTTCTATTATTCATGGCAGATATCCAACAGAAATCAGCACGCATCTAAATCCCTGCATGGAGGCGGTTTGGGTTCCCGGAGCAATGTGGTGTTCCCTCCGGCTGGTCCACCCCTAATCCGATCAGGATTTTGAGTTCCAGCCTGCGCAAGAATAAAAAATCAGTAAGAAACAAGTATAGAGTTCAGTAAATGATTAATCAACATCCTCGACCACTTACTGGTAGTTTTTCTCCCTTTCTCAACATCTCCACAATCTCAACAACTCGTTTTGGTGTCACATCTTCCTGGAGAAAGCCGAAAGAAACCACAATTTTAAGATTACTCCTCATATATGTAATTCCCTATATCACCTAATAATAACATTTACCACAGTCGAGTAGAAAAACCACAATTTTTTTCAGGTGAAAAAAGAAACATTTACTGCAGTCAAGATAAAGTATATAAACCATTGGGCTTGAATTTTAATCTGATATAGATCAAGTTGGAACTCAGAAATATACTATTTATCATGCTGTTGCAGAAAATTCATACACAGAAAGGTAAAGAATTAAGGTTTTGTGCAGCACCTTTAGAAAAAGCAGAGAGCCACAATTTAGCTGTGATCAGAACTCTAGATACTAGTCTTGCTCAGACAAAAGATCTTCATGCTGGCAGAATTTGATTACATGAAATTTTTAGATTAACAAAAGTGTAACCATTCAGCATCTGTGCCACCTGAAGTATTTTTCTTTGCTGCAATCTTCAGCATTTTCCAACTTACTGCCTGTGTGCTTGCTAATATAAACACACTTTAAAATGATTGCACAAAACTGCCAAGATTTTCTTACTGCTTTGCGCATTAATTTTTTGAAGATACAAATACTGTGTGACAGAAGTGACTTCCTAAAGTGCAATAATTTCATAAGAACGGCAAATAAATAACAAGAGCTGGCAATATATCATGTTAATCAGAGTAAGAAGAATGGAGATACTATAGTAGAGGAGGAGAAGAAAGAGAAGGTGAGAAGAAGGCAAAGCGAAGAAGCTGAGTGGGAGGCCTCCTGTTGACAACTATTTTTGGCTGTCAACAGTAAGCTGGAAATATTTTAAAAAATAAAAATAAAGTTTTGAACTAGACCGGATGAAATTGCCCTAAATACCAACCATACATACTGGTCTGACCAGTTTTTTGAACTATGCTTTCACTGGCTAATAAAAATGCATCTATTAGATATGAAACTCATCGCTTCAACCTTTCACTTACTTTTAGTAACTTGAATAGTTTCTTAAAGAACAAATCTTAAAGTATAAATGTTTGATTAGTTTTAATCCCTATTAACCTACTAAATTGATTGTATACTTCTTCATATTTACTTGCTTAAATATTATTTTATTCATATTACACATTGTAATCATCAAGGTTGGAGTCATGAAAATAGTTAACAGAAGAAGAATGTGTATATTGATCCTCCCCAAATCCACCTATGGCGGGAGTCTTATGCACCGATCCATCAGCCACCTATATTTAAGTTGCACCATATATTTTACATCTTGATTGCCAGAGTAGCAGCCACTTTTTAGAACATTTAGTACATTGCTGTACAGTGTGCACCAAGCAGGTGCATGCTATTCTATCTAAAAACAGGTATACAGAGGTACAAACCTCTATGAGATACATGCATTTCCTATTTTTCTATAGAATGCCTTCTGGATCCAACCCAATGCAAATCAGCCTAGGCTGACAAGTACCTTTCCATTCAGCAAGGACTGTGATGTACCGACATGGCTATAAATTTCATTTGGGAATGACAATTATGATTTTCGTTCAGTAAATATCTCATTCCTTTCTGAAGGAACATTATTAAAAGTATGACCCCATACATGATAAATATGGTGGTGAGAAGAAAATGTTATTGGTTGCTTTTAATCTAGAAAATAAGACAATTTACACAGTGTAATTAAAGAAAGATTTCATGGCCTAAGCTACTCAATCACTTGAAAGACAAACACTACTCTATTTGACCTTTAGCTTGCCCTAAGTGGTAGTTTCAGTGAGGATGCAATAGAAGTAGAAACATCACACAGTAATTGTTCAAAATGAGTTAATGAAGTCAGTAGAATGTTTATAAGGAAGGTCGAAGAGAACTGACATAGTAATTATATGAGTATCCTTCTGAGCCATTACTGTAGTCAGCTACAACAATCATAGGAGCATTCACGCAGCAGCCCTGTGAGGATTCAGAATTAGAATATATAAGGACCAAAACATGGGAGCACTTAAGATTACTCATGATTTCTATCACAAAAAAAACATTTGACCAAAACCACTAATCCACTTAAGAGGTTTTGTGATATGAAGCAGGTCTGCAGCAGTATATTAA